GTGCGGGAGGAAACCAGAGCACCCGGAAAAAAATTCCCCTGCCCGTACAAGGGGGCAACGCTCTATCACTGTACTGATGGAAAGCGATGGAGAGTTGTCCACTCGCTGTAACGCCTTCTCCTGGAAAGCCAGGGTATGCCACCTCGACGCGCATGGGAAAGGAGTTTCACATTCGTGTGTAATCCACCAAACCTCGCTGCTGCCTCCACAGCGCTGGATAAGAGGCGTTTCCTGGGCCTTTGTCATTTCAACTGCTGGATGCAGGCCTCCACACATCTCACGGGTACAATTGGGTTTTACCCCTTTCCCATTCCGCCGAATCTCGGAACCAGCAAGTGGCTCGGCGTTAATTTTGTATTTTAGAGAGGCGTGGGTAGCGCCGTTGTTTCTAAGGACATTGTACTCACCGCAGAGAACCGTAGCGACACAACCGCACTACGTGATGGCTGGCGCCAAATTGTGGCACACGTGCTCCCCGCAGGGCCTTGTGGGAGCCTCGGTACGTCGTCCGACCTGAAGACGCACCGATAACGTTATTTCTTTATTTTTTTTGTACGCCATCAGTTTTATACCTATTCATATTTTTTTGGGATATTTCGGTAAAGCCGCGTAGACAGAAAAATACATGAAAGTTTTATACCTTTGCGATGATGTACATTTACGTTATCGGAACGGGAAAGGGTTAATTTAATTAAGCCACACCTGTCGTGGATAATAAACACGGAGAATGCAGCACCGTCCCCTTACCATTGACCTGTCTGGCTGTTGACGTCGAGCAAGTAGAGTGCTGTCTTACACAAGGACTGTCACAATGTACTGAGAGCAGAAACGTTTCATATTTACACACGCACATCACTATACGTTCTGTTTCACATACTTATGCTCGTATTTATACTTCACGAGAAGCTCGTATGGTGACGAGTGTGGTGTGCTACATGTGTGAGAACACGTGTGTGTGTGTGTGCGCATGTACGTTGTGGCGAGATGTTAACTCCCTCGCCTGGAATGCAGGAGGTTGTGGGTTTATGCAACAAAGACAAAGATCCCCCCCAACCCCCCGCGTATAGCCTTAACAGACTGTTGGGGCAAGTGCTGTTAGCGAGTAGCACCCTATGAAGACCGGAACAGCACACGAGGGAGCGGGTGGCCAACACCACCCCCGGCCGCATTTGTCTCCCCCAGTGGCGATGTTTACGCACCGCACCATGTACTCATTTGAGGCTGAGTCGACCTAGGTGAGACCCAGGACCAGTTCAGATATTCGTCACCGATGTTGGCTGTGAGAACTCGGGCCGCCGGGGTTTATCGCTCAGCGTGCTAACCGCTACACCACCGTTTATACGCACACAGACACGGACACAAAACAAAGATAAATATCCCCCATATAGCCTTAACAGACTGTAGGGGCAAGTGCTGTTAGCGAGCACCTTTGAAGGCCGGAACGGTACACGAGGGGGTGAGTGGCCAGCACCACGCCCGACCGCCTTTGTCTCCCAAGTGGCAATGTTTACACACCGCACCAGGTACTCATTTGAGGCTGAGTCGACCTAGGGGAGGCCCGGGACCGGTTCAGATAATTGTCACTGGTGTTGGCCGTAAGCGGGAATCGAACCCAGGTCGCCAGGTTTATAGCGCAGCACGCTAACCGCTACACTATCGCTCCCCACACACATGAACACACACACAGACACACACGCACATGTGACGTGCGCCTCAAGGCACGTGAGTCTACCCTCGTCTCGGAGCGCCGGGTGTACGTGTGATGATCTCCCAAGCGAAATGCTGAGGGTGGGTGGCGTTTGTGCACAGACTGCCCTACATGACATCATAACAACAGTCTGGACCACTGGACGGGTTCCGCAGTATTGGAAGGATGCCCTGGTGGTCCCCCTCTTTAAGAAGGGTGACCGCACGGACTGTAACAACTACAGGGGCATCTCACTCATCAGTGTGCCGGGAAAGGTCCTGGCAAGGATTATTCAACATCGCCTTGCCCGGCACGCTGAGGAGAGGCTCCAATGCGGTTTCAGGAAAGGGCGGTCCTGCACAGATGCCATTTTTTTTTGTCCGTCTGCTACAGCAGAGGTGTAGGGTATTCCAACAAGACCTACATCTCTGCTTTATTGACCTGGTCAAAGACTATGATACCATCAGTAGGCCTGGGCTCTGGGTTGTTCTTCATTCTTTTGGAGTCCCTGACCCTCTGCTCACGATCATTAAGGACCTTCATGATGGTGAGCGGGCCCGGGTGAAACTACGTGGCCGGGAGTCGGAGCCATTCCCTGTTCACCTTGGAGTGCGACAGGGATGTCCTCTGGCTCCCACATTATTTAACATCTATTTCGACCATGTAGTTCGTGAAGCCTTTAATAATTGTACCGGAGGAATTTCCATCTGCTACAGATACAATGGGAGGCTGATCGATGCCCGTGTGCGGTAAAGGGATGGCTCCCTACTGCTCAACCATGTTATGTATGCTGATGATCTGGTAATTGCTGCTCATTCAGAGGAGGAGTTGGAGGCGCTGATGCTAAACCTGGAGCTTGCCTCTAGGAGGTGGGGCCTTACCATCAGCCCCACCAAAACTAAGCATCTGCCTGGGTATTTTGTACCATCGGACACTCCACCCCCACAACCCCCAATTGGTGATAGAACAGTTGTGGAGAGAGTGGAGAGTTTTCCATACTTGGGCAGTGTGCTAATGACTGGCTCCGATTTGACAGTAGAGATCTCACTCCGAATCAGTTAAACGGCATTATCTTTTCATCAGTTGCGTAACGCTGTGTGGAAGCTAGCTGGTCTGTCGCTCCGCACGAAGCTTCAGGTCTTCTCGGCCACAGCCATTCCCTCCCTTCTCTACCCATACGAAACGTGGACCCTCCTAATGGAACATCTTCGCCGGTTAGAAACATTTAGGCTGGCTTGCCTACGATCCATCCTGGGTTTAACCAGGCTGGATTGTGTGAGGAGCTCACAAATCCTTGAAAGTTCTGGACAAAGTCCCATCGGTGAAATATTGGGGCAGGCAAGGCTGCGTTGGCTGGGTCATATAGCCTGCATGCCCAGCCACCGCATGCCTAAACAGCTTTTGTTCGGCCGTATCGAGGAGGGTAAACGGGCGGGCATGGGCTAGAGAAGAGATGGAGTGATGTGGCACATAAGGATGTGGAGCTGAGTGGACTTGCCAATGACTGGTACCAGTGGTGTCAAGATCGGCGTCTGTGGAGGAGGCTCGTGAAAGACGCTATTGGGAAGATGGAGGCAGTCGCCCTCCAACAACATCGAAGGATGGAGGAGCGAAGCTCACAACAACGAGCGGAGCGCCGGGTGGCTAAAGCACAGCAAGTTGGCACAATAGGGGGCACAGGTGGTGCATCAGCCAGTCATCTCAGTCAGTCGACCCGTGGCACCTGGGTCTGCCCCGTGACCTCCTGCCAGCGGGCGTTCGACACTTCACGTAGCCTCAACGTGCACCTAGCCTGGCACAAGCGCCGTGGTGACGTCACCGCCACTTAGTGGCAAATGGCGGTTGTGGTTGTTGCATTTACTATTGCCATATAGCTGACGTGCATTTTAGCACCTTTCACGTTGAGTTCATCCTGCACAATGCACCTCTCCTTGTACGGACGTCGCCGTGACATTTCAAATTTCATAATCAAAAGCCAGCCAATTATCTGCGGTGCTTTCAGCGAGCGAATGCGTATACAGTGATGTGTTTAGCAGTGCATTCCCGCGCGCACAAGACACGCTGGCACGGAACACACGAAAGCACACACACACAGCTCGGGTTACAAAATAACATAATCTTTTGCATTTTTAAAACAAAATTGGCTTCAGATGCCACAAAACAGCAACGGAGGACCCACCCCCCCCCCCCCCCTAAAAAAACAAAACAAAAAAAACCAAGGTCGCCCTTTGAAGTGGCCATGAAAGCAGCACCTGACAGCGGTGGTGCATCAACGTGCGTGCCCTTATTTTAGACACCCTCCCCTTGGCATCGGAGGATTACAATGGATATTCCCAAAGCTGCCCTCCCCCCTTCTTCCACGTGCCCACCCCTATCTGTCTGCTCTGCCCGCATTGCCTGAATCTCTCCTCCCCGTGTCTCTCTGTCTCTCTGCTCGAGCCAAGCCCGGGCGGGCCAAGGTGAAGTCAATGATCCACCATCCTTTCTTGCACACATTGCCTCTTTAGAAAGGCGGACGTACAGCGGGGATTTGAGTGCTTTGAAGCAGCGAGGCGACGTTAAAGCCTTGAGGTCCCCACCCCCCTTTTTGAGCGGCTTACGTAAACAGAGCGCTCGTTGGAAGCCCGTTCACAAATGACACTGCGCTGTGCATTAATAACAGAGCTCAGCCATCATGCGTGCGCTGCGAGACACGGGAGAGGGATGCCCAGCTATTCTCGGCCTCCTGGGTGTTGTTGTCTCCTTGCAAGTGTAATGGGCAAGAGGCTGGAATAAACCATGTGCACTGCTTATGCAGTGTGGTTTTTTTTTAAATCATCATCATCGTCGTGGCCGTCATCAACGATCAGTGCACTGCTGGAGACACGTAGGCACACACAATAGAGGCAGACAGGGAGATACAAAAGACAAAAATCCCCCGTGTAGCCTTAACAGACTGTTCGGGCAAGTGCTGTTAGCGAGCACCTATAAAGGCCGGCGCTGCACACGAGGGGGTGGGTGGCCAGCACCATACCCGGCCGCCTTTGTTTTCCCAGTGGCGATGTTTACACATTGTTCCAGGTACTCATTTGAGGCTAATTCGACCCAGGGGAGGCCCAGGACCAGTTCAGATAATTGTCACTGATTTTGACCGTGAGCGGGAATCGAACTATGGGCAGCGCGCTAACCGCTGCACGTCCGCTCCCCTCGCACACACACACGCACGCAGCAGGAGATACACACCTTGATTTATCCACTGCTGGATAAAAGGCCTTCTCACGCCATGACCGTCTCTCACGGTCCTGTGATGGAACAAATCCGCCCCAGCACTTACCTGCACACGAGCAAATGTCATGGCTGCATATCCACGGTGAACGTCCTCGGGTGCATTTCCACCTCCAGCTGCTGCTTTAGTTAACTAAGAAACAGAAAAACACACCCATGTAAATGCCACTGTAATACTGTAAACGTACACGTGCGTTTATATTTATATGGGAGGTAGTGGTCAAAAACATGTTGTTGTTTTTTTCAAATATGTCAGAAACACTGCATTTGTTGTTTTATTCATTTTACAATTGATAACATCATGGCAACCATTTTATCTTTGTTGCAATGACTCAATTCCCAGTGAGAGAGAAAGAAATCTGGCTGCGCTTCAAATCCATCTCGACGGTATCTATCAAAGATTCATCGCCCCGCAAGTCGAGTATCACGTAGGTTTTTTGGATCAGACAATGGCCACTCGAAGGCACGTCTGTTGTTAATTTTTTTTGTGGCGAGGATAGTAGAGCTCTTCCCACAGACGGTCATGAATTGTAGCCTGCGCTGTGCGGGGCAATTGCGAGCGGGAGCATTGTGATGCCAAGAGGAAAGTACAGCACTTAAAGCATTCCTTGCATTTTCCCAGATGGATTGCCTTGAGTTTGGGTTTAGCATTTTACTCATAAATGACAGTGGGTTTTACACTTTTTCTGTGCACGAGTGCCTCTCAATTATATGAGCAGTGGTCAATACATTTTGAAACTCACCGTCACTTTGATTGATGTGCTATAAAAAAGGTCCGTTGCCCGAAATGTCGCGTATTATATATACGTATCTTTTTAAGGCCGCAGTGTTATTGACGAATGTGTTGAGTTTTTAAAATTAATTTCAAGGTCTTCTCAGGTCTCTTTCTTTAGAGTTTCACGTTTAAGCTAATAATACTGCACCGTTTATGTATGATTTTTTTTGGACATTTGTTTAACCAGGATAGCCTCAGTGAGTCTTAAGATTATTTTTCCCTGGAAAGTCATGCATTTGGGATGTTTGCCAAATCCCATTGATCAGAGTTTGCCTGCATATGGTTAAAAAAAAAACGGAGTAACTTGAGAAAACGTACCACGTATATGAGGGGATAATCCTCAAATCTCCACACAGATGTATTCAATCCACTTGCTATACTGCCATTTCCCGGCCACCAACGCTATAACAGGGCTTAAGAGTTTCGCAGGGTTTTCACGATCCATCAACCCTGTCCCCGAAAGTGCCAAATGAGAGACGTGCACCACCGTGCCTGTTGTCAATGTTAGAAAGTCACGAAAATTGCAGTGAAGTACTCGAAAATTATTTCTTTCGCAGAAGCCACGTCGCGACAATAGTTGCCTACTGCCAGACGAATTCCCGCTGCAAGTTAAACTGCAGGCGAGGCGCGTGTAGCACGGTGGAGGCCCGTTGGTGCCTGTGGTCGGCCAATGTGAGAGTCCGCACAGCTTACCTAATACCATGGAAGGGGGCGGGGGGGGGGTTACTGTTTGGAAACAAGCTGGTGAATCCCATCAGGCTGTGGGTGGCGGGGGTGCGGTGAGTAAATAATAACAATCCTTACATGATTGGTGGGCGGTGGCATTCATTACCCCAAGGCGTGCCTGGGTCATTGGCTAAGCTGCTACTGCCCGTATACAGGGCGAGCTGTAGAAGCCAGAGGGAGGGAGAGAAAAGGCAGGGACGCTGCGGTTGTGTATTGCTGCTTACGGATGCTGGTTCTGGTGGTGGCGCTGATGATGATTGATAGTGATGGATGATGATGATGATGATGGTGGCGAGCCTGTGAGTTATATATGGAAAAAAAAGAAGTCCACCACGAACCCTAACAGCACTGTAAAGAGCCCTTTTAGAGCACGCTATAAATATTAAGTGATGGTACAATATTGAAATATGAAGTAAGAATAATTAATGTGTAGATTGTTTTTCTTTCCCTCTCAATAACCGCGTGTAATATTGTATTGTCCAGATATACGGTTGGTTCGCATTACTTTATAAGCAACATCGCCCTCAGCATCGTAATTATTTAATATTGCGAGTTACTTGTTAAGAGTTGGCTATGATACTGGGACATGATGGCCTGCTGTTTTGGCACATTACTGTGGGAAGTATTGCATAGCTTCAGTGTAATAGGCATCTCTTAAATTTGTAATATCTTCTCACTTACAGGTCATCCTGCCCTTTCAACACAGTAAAGCACCGCAGTATTTAGCCATTCTGCTCTACAGATCTGCAGTGCATTAATAGACGCGTACTATGGTGTAGGTTGCAGCTGTCACTGCAAGACAGAGGTACGTGTTCAGTCCAGGGCTTAATTCCTCACTGAATTTTTGTTGGCTCATTAACTGAAATATTTTCGTGGTCCCCGACCCAGACAGACCTGTCTGAAGCTAAGCCCTCGATCTGTCCCATCGTCTACCACCTCGAGCCTCTAAACGATCCGCAAAGTTTCCAGCTTGAGGACATCGTTCAAGACCGCAATGGTAACTCAACGTAACGGCTATCACAAGTAACATCACTGGAGTGCAAAGATAGTGTTCGAACATAACTGCTCGGTTGAACTTCATAACGTTAAGTAAACATTAAGTGAACCTTGAAGTGGAGCGGTGGCGCAATTGTTAGCGTACCTCCACGATGAACACAGCGACCAGAGTTCATTTCCCGACCACGGTCAACATCGTTGGCAGTTACATCTGGACCGGCCTTGGGCCTTATCATCCCTCCCGTCCTCCACTTCATTGGACCGCAATGACCGTTCCGGGTAAATTGTGCTCAAATCAACCCCTGTGACTGAGATGGAATTGGGCGTCCTTCGTCCTGCTGTGGAGTAGCGAATGAGACCGCACATTCGGTGAACTGGCTACCAATCAGGGTTATGCTGGAGCAAAGGAGGAGGCGTCATGGGGCTCTAAACTTGTTCTCGCAACAGTCTCGTGACGATTCAGCAATCGTGAGGCCGTTGAGTCACGCTCACGCCGAGTCCCACCGTGGTGGTGTGAGCACGCTGCACGCAGACACAAGGCGTGGGACTTTCCCGTCATCTAAGCCAAAACGCCACTTTAAAGCCACCACAGGAATGGCCCGTAGAAAACCATTCCAGACGGCCCGCCCGCTTTATCAAGCATTCAAAAGAGCTCCCAAGAGCTTAAACACCTGCCACACCATGAGACAACTGTCCTGATGATCTTCATGTATCTTGCATGAAGTTCATTTTTTTTGCAATGCAAGGGAAGTTTGTGACGGAAAAAAATATGAGTTCAGGATTTTCAAAGCATCTGCCTGGGTATTTTGTACCATCGTACACGATGTCACGGTCAGCGCACTGGACATTGACTCAATTCCATCAATTCCATCTTCTGGCGTGGCAGTTGAAAATCCCCCCCACCTCCACTGCCTCGGTCCACCCAGCGTGTCCATGCCATAGTTAGTCAATTTGTAGGTCACGTGTCTTGCGATTGAGATAAGATACTCTCGCTTCTTTCGAAACACCGATGAATTTAACGCTTTAAAAAAAAACGAATGATTTGTATTTTACCAGGTAAGACTCACCGAGCTACAGTGAGGGAAAAAAAGTATTTGATCCCCTGCTGATTTCGTACGTTTGCCCACTGACAAAGAAATGATCAGTCTATAATTGTAATGGTAGGTTTACTTGAACAGTGAGAGACAGAATAACAACAACAAAATCCAGAAAAACTCATGTCAAAAATGTTATAAATTGATTTGCATTTTAATGAGGGAAATAAGTATTTGACCCCTCTGCAAAACATGACTTAGTACTTGGTGGCAAAACCCTTGTTGGCAATCACAGAGGTCAGACGTTTCTTGCAGTTGGCCACCAGGTTTGCACACATCTCAGGAGGGATTTTGTCCCACTCCTCTTTGCAGATCTTCTCCAAGTCATTAAGGTTTCGAGGCTGACGTTTGCAGACTCGAACCTTCAGCTCCCTCCACAGATTTTCTATGGGATTAAGGTCTGGAGACTGGCTAGGCCACTCCAGGACCTGAAAGTGCTTCTTCTTGAGCCACTCCTTTGTTGCCTTGGCCGTGTGTTTTGGGTCATTGTCATGCTGGAATACCCATCCACGACCCATTTTCAATGCCCTGGCTGAGGGAAGGAGGCTCTCATCCAAGATTTGACGATACATGGCCCCGTCCACCGTCCCTTTGATGCGGTGAAGTTGTCCTGTCCCCTTAGCAGAAAAAAACACCCCCAAAGCATAATCTTTCCACCTCCATGTTGGACGGTGAGGATGGTGTTCTTGGGGTCATAGGCAGCATTCCCCCCGCCTCCAAACACGGTGAGTTGAGTTGATGCCAAAGAGCTCCATTTTGGTCTCATCTAACCACAACACTTTCACCCAGTTGTCCTCTGAATCATTCAGATGTTCATTGGCAAACTTCAGACGGGCATGTATATGTGCTTTCTTGAGCAGGGAGACCTTGCGGGCGCTGCAGGATTTCAGTCCTTCACGGCGTAGTGTTACCAATTGTTTTCTTGGTGACTATGGTCCCAGCTGCCTTGAGATCATTGACAAGATCCTCCCGTGTAGTTCTGGGCTGATTCCTCACCGTTCTCATGATCATTGCAACTCCACGACGTGAGATCTTGCATGGAGCCCCAGGCCGAGGGAGATTGGCAGTTCTTTTGTGTTTCTTCCATTTGCGAATAAACGCACCAACTGTTGTCACCTTCTCACCAAGCTGCTTGGCAATGGTCTTGTAGCCCATTCCAGCCTTGTGTAGGTCTACAATTTTGTCCCTGACATCCTTGGAGAGCTCTTTGGTCTTGGCCATGGTGGAGAGTTTGGAATCTGATTGATTGCTTCTGTGGACAGGTGTCTTTTATACAGGTAACAAGCTGAGATTAGGAGCACTTCCTTTAAGAGTGTGCTCCTAATCTCAGCTCGTTACCTGTATAAAAGACACCTGGGAGCCAGAAATCTTTCTGATTGAGAGGGGGTCAAATATTTATTTCCCTCATTAAAATGCAAATACATTTATAACATTTTTGACATGCGTTTTTCTGGATTGTTTTGTTGTTATTCTGTCTCTCACTGTTCAAATAAACCTACCATTAAAATTATACTGATCATTTATTTGTCAGTGGGCAAACGTACAAAATCAGCATGGGATCAAATACTTTTTTCCCTCACTGTACGTGGCTTTTTTTCAGATGCAACCTGGCCATAAATAATAGCTCAACGATGTGGCTTATCATCATGCGAAAATTTCG